ATTTGTGGTAGAGGGCACACACACACACACACACACACACACACATATATATATATATATATATATATATATATATATACACATCAAGTGGAGTACTGGTGGTTATAGGGGAATTAGGAAGGGGAAGAAAAGGGCAGATGTAAAAACCCCCCAAAGGAAATGAGTAGATACTCAAGTATCACTGATCTGGACGAAAGCGCTGATGCCTTGTCTGGATCACATCCCTAAGGTTTTGCCTACCTCCCTTTGACCCGCGATTCCTCATACCCCTACCCGCAGGCAGAGGAGGAGTGCGAGCCACGACACTAGCCTTCTGTGTCCATCTCTGATCCTCAAACCGAGATGGACCAAGACCCCTATGTTGTTCGGGCTCAGACCTGGACCTTGTGAAGGCCGCTGAGCGCACCTTTGCCTCGCTGAACTTCTCGACCACCGCCTCAAAGGAGGTACCAAAAAATACGTAAGGTGAAACCCGCGCATCGAGAAGAAAGCCCCTCTCTTTTTCCCGATATCTGCTAGGTTCACCCACAGATGTCCCTCCGTCACTACCATAGCCGCCATGGCCCTGCCACTAGCAGAGGCGGCCTGCTTAGTAGCACGGAGAGCGAGGTCTGTGGTGCGGCGCGCTCAGCTACCTCATCAAGAGAAAGGCCCTCGCCTTTATCCAGGTCTTTCAGCAGGTCAGCCTGATATGCTTGGAGCATCACCATCGTGTGCAATGAAGTGCCAGCCCGACCTGCTGCGGCTGCGTATGCCCTGACATTCGAGCGAGATGTCAAGGAGGGAGTCTTAAGAGAAGACTTCTCACCCATAGAGAGATAGCTGGCCAGCATCTCTCTATAGGGGCATCTTCTCATAAACTAATACAAATAACGAGTGGTAACTCAGCTAATCTAATAGGGAAACGTACAAACAACACATGCAATATACCAGATATATTTGTAGAGTATAATAGAGTAACGGTCTTTATGTGTGTGTGTGTTTGTGTGTGTGTGTGTGTGTTAGTTTACTTGGCCAGCCAGGCCCATCGGGGTCATTTACAGCTCTTTGGGACCGTGTTTGAAGTCAGATGGGGGAGATGATAGTGGGGGCTGGTTAGAATCTCCTTGACGGCGAGGAAACATTTGGCAATTTAAAACCCCTATACAAACGTAAAGTCTCTGACCAGAACTGTAATTTATATGCAAATGTTAAAAGGCTAAAAGGGTCTCTTAAGCCATAAACACCCCAAAGATCATGCATGATTCTATGCAGACGCTACATTCTCATAACCGCTTTTGCGCATCGTCTCGATGTTGGCATAACTCGTATGCTGGAATCGATGGATGCGTGAGGAAAAATGGCCTCTTCCATTCCTTCTCGATCTGTGTATGGAAACAGGAAGAAAGGAAGGCTCACCTGAGCTTGAGGGTTATGGCCAGAAAAATAATGTTCATTGAGATACCTCGCGACGTCACTTTCTTTGCCTGCTTCGCGGCAAATAATCCAGCAGAGCACTGGCCCCTGGATCAGACAATGTTAATGAAATAACATCATCCTCCAGCTGCTCATTCTCGTCCACAGCCGACGATCACGAGAGGGAAAACTCCTCTTCAAACTCATCGGCCTGATCCACCTGCGATCCCCACAAGCTCATTCTCCTCCGTTCCTCAGCAGCGGCGGGTCCTGAATCGCGGGAAGCAGATGGCTGCCCCTCTTTCCTCGAAGAGAGACAAACAAGAGCGGAGCTTTTTCCTTGGAAAAACACTCGCAGTGCACACCGATTGCCCCCTCAGAGACATTGCGTGCGTGCTTTCGCCCAAACAAATAACGCATAGATTGTGTGTGTCATCAGATGTTAAACAACGACAACACGGATGCACACATCCTCTAAACGTTCTGCTAGTGCTTGCCATAATAATAGGGTAGAGATTGCTCTTACCACGTTCAAATGCACGCTTCAAACAAAACAGTCAGTGAAGACGAAGAAGAGAATGACATGTTCTCCCGGTGCCTATTTATACTAATAGTTGCACCGGTAGTGACGTCATGGGCTGTCGCCGGCCAATGTGTTGTTGGTGTTTTTTCAATGTATGCTTCAGACACGGGTCACAACGAGGTGTCCCCCATAGCGACCCCTAGAGGATGCAGTTCGAAGTTCCCTTGAAAGGGAACTGCAAGTTTATAACACAAAACTGCAAGTTACAACCCCAAACTGTGTCTGGATATGTATTAAGTCCAGCAATAAGTTCAGAGTAGACCAGGAAAAGAATCGGAGAGCCTGCACACTGTAATCTGTGATGTTTTATGTAGCGTCTGGACCACTCAAACACACAATATATATTTTGTTAGCTAGATTTAACAAATACTCTGTAACACCCCAGGAAGCCGAACAGGCCCCTGGTTCCATGGTAACCCTGACACCCGATACATTTACGACCTCCTGGAATTTAGGTGAAGAAAATCACTTCCTTGCCCATAGGGAAAATCCACAAGAGAAGGACTTTTCTTTGCTAATTAATTAATAGGAAAACCTT